GAACGTCTGCCTCGGTTCCCCTAGCAGAGACAATGGGAAGTTTCCAGGATGTCTCCTGGGTACTGTCGTAGCACCATCATTTGTTTGTTTCACTCCGTCATTCTGAGGCTGATGCGGCTAAAGCCACAGGGTGCCAGACCCTGACCTTGAGCTATGCTTATTTGTTCTTTTCATTCCACACCTGTTTATATTGAGCACCTCCTCGGTGGTAGGCACCACACCAGGTGCAGGGGACACAACAGCAGCCTGGTCCTATCCCCTGCCCTCCCCATGGCCTAGCGGGGGAGATCTACAAATAAGCAGGCCATGACAACAGAGACGTAAGCGGGTCAATGGGTGGCCTGGGGGAAGCCCAGGGGCATTCCTGGCTTAGCAGCAGAGTTCACCTGTTACAGATAAGTAAGCCCCTTGGGTTTTCTCAGAGAAGAAGCTGTGAAAGGCATTCAAAGCTCTGGTCTCTGGAAACATTCCCTTTGAAGTTCACAAGAGCCATGAAGTGCCCAGCAGGTCATAAATGCCTAGGGATGGGCCTGGCATATCAGCCCTGCAAGCTCACACCACCTGAAAGGGTGTTTTGGGAATGGGGGGGGGTGACACAGGATGGCAGGGATGAGGTAAGCAGTAGGTGCACCTCAAATTCCACCAGGTCACACCAGGGGGAGAGCGATCTTGGAGAGGAAGACTCGCTGTGGACGGTCTCTCGGGGTGGGGGTGGGGTGGGGGATGTGAGAAGGCTGCCTGGGTTGCGGCTCCCGGGGAGCAGCTCAGAGGAGGATCCGGAGGGTGGCTGGGGAGGGGATGAAGGCCAGACACGGCTCTGGGATCTGTTCTCCGCTGGGGTGGGGACAAGCTGACCCCTAGCCTGTCCTCATTTGGCTGCCAGGCGCTCAAGCCCACAGAGAGCCTGAGTTCTTACAAGCCTCTACCTCTTCCTTCTCTGTGGAGAGACCCAGGGAAGTGGACAGGTGTCTGTGTGGGACCTGGGACAGACAAAGCCACGCCGTCCCATCCTCAGGAACAAAGCGCACCAAACCAGAAGGGCACCCTGGTCAGCTGCAGACACAGGCGGTGCTCCGTGGGGGCAGGGAGCCACGTCCGAAGTGTTCCCTCAGCCCCTCCCACTGCTCCTTTGCCCACCGAAAATTCAGTTCAAGCCCTCTGTCCCAAAGCTGACATTGACCAATCTGCCTTCTCTTTCTTCTTAGCAGCTGGGATGCTTACTCTCTTCTTTGGCCCTGAGAAGATTCCTTTGGACCAATGATTTAACTCTATGATTCCTCTCGTCTTAGGTACAAGATGTCCCAGAAGCCCTTGGGGCGAGGGCACACCTTAGGCTTCTTTGGCAATCGAGTAGCGAACTCAGGGCTCTGCGTGTAGCAGGTGCACAATGAGTGCTGCTTGTTGCTAATTCCGCTTGGCTGTAATGACACTCTCGGAAGATGGAAGATGTATGTCACGGGGAAGGTTGACCCTCGGCAGGTCACCCTGCACTTTCTCCCAGGACAGAGCCTTCTCTGGGAGCCCGGGAAGCCCAGATCAGGTAGATGGTTTTCTGGGGGCCTCGGCACACTCCCGCAGTGTCCAGGGCTTGGCGGGGATGCGTGGCTGTTGGGGTGGAGGTATGCATGAGGCACAGGATCCTGAGGCCACTGGCCTTCCCTCTCTGCAGGCCTCAGGACTGCTTCTGCTCACCGTGCACATCTTCCCACCTCCCACCTTACCCCTGACGCTCAGCCGGGCTCCACCAGGCGAGGGTGTGTGAGTCCCTGGGTTGCGCGGTCCTTCTCTTCACCCTGGCCTCAGGCTAATATTTCCTGAGATGCGTTTCTTGCAACACAGTGTATTTGCATTGGTAATGGTGTTGGGGTAGGGTAGGAGGGAAGCTGAGATCAAATAAGTTGACAATATTAAGCGGCTTTCTTTAAAGCAGGACTTGTCAGAACGTCTAACATGCTAATTTGTATCGTGGGCTCCAAGAAGAGGGCTATTATTATACGCGGTGCTCATGGAGCGTTTTGTCTCAAAGAATTCATGGAATTCATGGAACCCCAGTTTGGCACAGGCCACTGTAGGTTGAGCCTATAATGAAGTAGGCCGTTTGTACAACTTGGTCGCATTTTGCTTCATAATCTAATGGTGTGTTTAACGCTTCTCATTAGGGGCTGTTATTATAGGAAATACCGGTGTTGCTTTGGAGGTGGGTGGGTAGAGCCACTGTCCTGAGGAATAGCCTCCTGTGGGAGGCCCCCTTCATTCTCCACTGGGCTAGGCTCCTCTGTGACCCCATGACCCCCTGGGCTACAGGGAAGTGTCATGTTCTCATTCTACCGACAGGAATCTCTGTCTCTACTTGAGGATGAGCTCCTTATGAGAAGGAGCTCTGTCGTGCCTGTGTTTGTATCTCCAGCTTCCAGCACAGGGTCTGGAAAATGTAGATTTCCAGAGAAGGTTGACTAGACCTGAACAAATCATAAACACAATGCAAAGTGCCTCTCTATTACCCCCCCACACCCCTGGGCCTCCAGGTTCCCCAGGGAAGGGCATGGCCATTAGCTCAATGAACAGACAGCTGAAAAGGCCCTGGGAACCTGCTTCAAGGTGGGAAGGGGCTAGTGCTTTGTGGGGGTGGGGTGTGGGACGAGGAGGGCTGGGGCCTCTGGGAGCCCCTCACGGGGTTTTGGGAATTCAAGGCTCTGTCCACGGTGGGGTCCCTGGAAAAAGCTAAGAAAATGATACTTTAGCGCATAACGCCCCTGCCCCGCCACCACACACAGCAGTCCCCACTCAGGTGTCAGGGGACCTTACCTGTGTAGTTAGGTGGGCAGACACACACGTAGTTGTTGATCCCATCCACACAGGTGGCATTGTTCTCGCAGTCGTTGTCCTCACAGTCGTCTGGGTTGATCTCACACCGTTGCCCCTCAAAGCCCAGAGGGCAAGAGCAGCTTTGGGGATGTGTGGGGTGGGGAGGAACGGAGCCAGGGGTCGGGGAGGGGGGTGGGTTGAGTGGCAGAAAAGAAGGTTGTGGGGGAAATAGAATTAGTCAGGTTTCTCTGTGGATGGAGGTCCGAGGCAGCACTTTGGAGTCCTGAGCAGGAAGACCCTCAGGACTTAAGAGGCCATTTCGTCTCGCCCCTGTCCGCGGGCAATACGGGACCTCCCCTGGCCCTGGGTGGCTGCCTCGCCCCTGGGGACAGTTCCTAGCGGCAGTGACTCCTTCACCATCCCCACAGGGGAAGTGGCTTCCCGGCTCTCGCTGAAGCGCCAGCTGTCTTCTCAACTGCTCTTTCTTGGACTCTTCTGTGGGTAGTCTCTCTTATAGACAGAGAGAAACATAACAAACATGCCCCCTTTGAGTGACTTTCTACTCGAGGGCAGCCTTTCTGTCCTGAGCTGGAGCAGGGCGAGGTGGCGTAGATCCGGCTCTGTGTTCATGCATCCGTCTGGGAGCGAATCCCGCGCCTGCTACTTCCTAGCTGTTTGGCCTTGGGAAAAGGACCTAAATGCCCTGTCTCAGTTCCCTCATCTGCTGACTGGGGCAATGTTATTTACCCCAGGGTGGTTGTGGGGATTAAATGAAATTATACAAGTGAAATGCTTAGAAGCGTACATGGCACATAGGAAATGCTCAGAACATGTGAGCTGGCTAGAGTTCTAGACAAAACCACCCCTTTTCTTACCCTTTCCCCAGGAAAAAACATTTCTCCGTCTTGTGTTCCTACTACTTTTGAGCCCCTCCAGCTTCTGGCGGGTTAGGGGAAGCGTTAGGAGGACCCCGCTCCTGCCAACACTGAGGCTTTCTGGGGAGCTTGGCTTAAAACACCTCATATCAGCATGGCGCATTTCCTGAACTTGTCTGGAGTGTCAAAGCTGTTGGATGAAAACCCCAGCCCACTGTCCTCTGCCTAACCTCGGTCACATCCCCAGGATTAGACATGCAAAATGAATCAGAACTGACGAAGGCTGGACAGATGAGAAGTGGCGGCGAGGGGGGAGGGGGGGCGTTTGGGGGTGCAGGTGGGAGGCGAGTGTCTGAGTAAATGAGCACTACAGCGATTTGTCCTTTCTGTGGCCGACCCCCAGGCATGGATTCGCACCCCATCCGTGAACGTGGGCGCCAGCTGCAGGCCTGAATTCCAGGTCTGTCTCAGAGGCTGCTGATTCGGGTTTAGCTAAAAAGAGGAAGCTCATGGGAAGTGGATTTCCAGACTCCTGCTCAGCTGCCTTTCCTCCACCACCTGAAAACCATGTCGCATTTTCTACAAAAGGCCAAGGGGTCCTTGAGTCTGAGCTCTTAGGTAGAGCCGAATGACTCATTCCTTTTTTCTGTGAGGGACCCCTGGGCGTTCATGATCAAGGCTATTTCTTCAGAGCCAGGAGAAATAGTAGGGAGGCTTTCAAAGGCCTGACACCATAGTGTTGCCTATTTTCCTGAAATGAGTTACTGTGGCTGTCACCAGAGCCTCAGGATTGCATGAAAGGGGGATTTGGGTGGACAGGGGATGCTCGCGGAGCTGGGGTGGGGGGAGCCTAAAGTCTCCCCTGCTCTCACTGGAGACCTTAGCTGTGAGCATGTAGGACAGGTCACGTCTCCCTGGTCTTGGTCTCCTGTCCGGCCAGCTCGGCCAGCCTCTGCTCTGTCCATGAGCAGATAATACATCAAGACTGAACAAGCATCTGTATGAAGAGGCCCATGGCGTTTCCAGAATTCTGACTCATAGAGGTGTTATGGGTTAAACTGTGTCCCCTCAAAACGATCTGTTGAAATCTTAACCCCAGTGCCTCAGAATGTGACCTTATTTGTAAACAGGGTCATTGCAGATGTAATTAATTTAAGAGGAGGTTACACTGGAGTAACATGGGCNTTGTTGTTAGGAGCACTGTGTTCTCACCAGCTGAACCATCCTGCCACCTGTTGGCAGCTCAGTGGCAGCTAAGCTCCGGCGCAGCTCACTTGGCTCATGTGGGAATTGAACTGGTGACCCTGTTGCTCAGAGCTCACGCTCTTAACCAACCGAGCCACTCGGCCGCCCCTAGAGTGAGGTTTTCAGGGACAAGTACCAGAGGATCATGGTCTCTGGCACTGCTTACGTCTCTGGGCTTAACTCCCCAGCACCCCGACCCCAGACCTGCACCCTGGATACTTCTGAACAGTCTTCACGCTCGCTGTGCTTTTCCAAGCCGGCATCCTGAGCCTGCTGTCCACTCAGCCCAGGACGCCGCTGGCCTCCTCTCCACCCCCGCACCTTCTGCCCACTGTCCATAGCCTACGTCCCCAGCCGCCATCACTGCCTGCTAAGCACACCAGGAGCACTCTGCTAGCCGGTCCAGCCTGCTCTGTTTTAGGTTCAAGTTTATGGTCCAGGCATCTCTTCCGCCTCTTTGCCTATTCCTTCAGTTCTTCCTTTAAAGAGCAGCCCTGAACTGAAGGTGAATCCTGGAGGAGAAGCGGGGGGGGAGGGGTCCTGGGAGGCAGCCCTCACCCTCACTCAGGTAACTGAGAGCCCACTTGGTGCAACTCTGGGGGGTGGGGACAGATAAGGCAGGTATGAATGAGGGTGCACGCATGGAAGGACTGAGCTGCCTTTGCTTTCAACCAAACCAGAGGCCCTAACGCACCTCTTGCCTCTTCCCTGGTGATGAGCTCCAGGCTTGGGATGTCCAAAGAAGAAGGGAAACAAGCAAAGACACGCCCGCTCAGTCTCACCTACTCTAGACTCTTCTCCCACCTGTGGGCCCTCCCGCCTCCTCTCAGCTCATCCAAATCCCATCCACCTTTTGGTGTTCACTTTACATCCCGCCTCCTAAAGGAAGGGGGCTTTCCTCTCCGTTCCAGCACTCTGGAGCCAGAATCAAGGGTACCTACCCATCTATCAACCAACCTATCTATCTCTCTAGAGACACATTGAGACAGATTTAGAAAGAGAAGCACCCACAAAGAGACAGAGAGTGACAGAGGCACACACTTAGGGAAACAGAGGCAGA